TACATTCGATTTCTACGCATCACTTATGTAAAACGTAATAATCTAACGTAATGCAATCAAGTCTAAAAATTTCCGGTGATCACGAAATAATGCAAATCTGTCTCCTTTTTTGATTCAGTTATCACACGTCATATTTTTTTCTCTTCATCTCATTCTATTCACCGTTTTTATCAACTTCGTTTCAGAATCTGAATGAATGTGCGCGGCTTTTTCAAGAATGTTCTGAACAATGAGGGTAAGGAAGCCCAGACCGTGGCCGGTGAGAGTTCTGAAACCGGGTCTTCGACAGCCGTATCATCGGGCATGAGTAGTTTCTTATCCGGTACATCCCGATTTTTGGACTCGGTGCAGACAAAAAAGAACGGTCTGATCAGCGATATTTCCAGCAAACTGAGCTCAATCAAACTGCCCGGTGATCAGTCTACAGAGAGCGGAGCAACCAAGTCAGATAAGCGGAAAAGTCGACAGGCGGTTAATGTTGGCGGCGACGACGACGATGGGGACAGTTCGGCCAGTGAATATGGAGATGAGGGCGATCGGCCGATGTACGCCGAGGAAGCTCCGATGGAACGTCGAGTATCGGTGGAAAGTGTGGACAGTTTGCCGGAAGACGAAGCGAACCAGTGGCGAAACAATATTCGTACAATGATTCGTGATGTACTCAGTCAACAGTGAGTAATCCGAAAATTCGAGGAACAATTATAGCAAATGCCAATAGAAATCGGTGTCTTTTTTCATTGTTCGATTGCTCATTCCCCATAAACTCAGTAGACTCAGTAGAGATAAGACAGCTATTGTGACTGAGCACTTCGTCAGTTTGTATCGTAACCCTAGGATAAACAACAACATTTCTATAAAGCGATAAACGGCAAAACTAATAACACATCATCAATGTTAATATAATTACAAAAGTAATTTGCTTTTGCGAATTAGAACCTGGAAAACTAATCACTTTGTTCTAACTTTTCCTTCCAGCCGTCAAACATTTCATTCTGATATAAATCCTTTTGAATCGGTCAGAGGTAAACAGGATGCTGTCGCTATAGATACACTCGCATCCATGATCCACACAATCCGGGAGTAATGGTATTATTTTTTATTTTTGAATAATCTATGTGGATTATATCATTCAATAGTTATTTATGAATTTCTATCCACTGGTACTAAGAGAGGTAATTAGCATCTAACCCACTCATTAAAGACCATTGAATCAAATTATTGATTCATGAATAAACTGGTTCTGAAAGGCCTATCGGGAAAAATTAATCCGGCATTGTGTGTCAAGTACATACATATGGCTTGCACTGCACCTTTGCTTTCCGATGAGTTGATCGCTTCCATCAAGAAAACAGATTTATTCACTGATGAAGAATACGGAACAATTGCTTCCAAAAACTTGAAGATGGAAAACTGTGGAGATGCTGTTAATGCCATTGTTTTTCTACATTTTGTTACTTTTCTTGTCTATCTAAAATGTACAGCTTTCCGTTTCGAATAAGATAGTTCTTTTGCTAAACACTGAGCAATCTTGTTTATCTCTGCATCGGTATAGGTCCTGTTCAGCGGAAGCTCGTGGCAACTTGGAGAACTACGCTACAGTGAGTATATATATATATATTCTTGTGTTGGTTCATCGTTTGTAGATATTTGTATACCTACCTACCTACATACGTACATACATACATACATACATACATACATACCAACAGACAGGCAGACAGACAGACAAACAGACAAAATAATGATAGATGTAGGTAATTATCTTGTTTTTAACCCTTGTTATTTAGTATTTTAGTCAAATCACCCAGAACGAGCTTTCCCCGAGATAGCAACTAAATGAAATATGTTTTTAACATTTTGTATTATAATTGATCCCCAATTATCCGATCATGGGAGCTTGAGTGCTTGCAGAAATTGTTTTTGAGCAACCAGAGGGGGGGGGGGGTTG